GGATCTCGCCAACAAGGTCGGCGAGGCAGCTCGCTGCGCAGACGATCTCCGCGCCGTGCAGCGTGTCGAGCCTGACGCTGTCGGGCATGCTGGGCTGGCTTCGCTCGCCAGGAAGGAACAAGGTTCCCGTTCAGAGCAGATCTCCGGGAGACGGTGCACCCTACCCCATGGTGGGCGCCAAATGTCGGAGGTTGGGTGCGACATATGCCAAATGATGTCTTATCATGGTGGGAGTAAGTAGAACGTCGTCGGTGTCTGGAAACGGGATGAGGCGTAGACACGAACGCCGATGAACTTTACCCAGGTTGGGGGCTCTCCTTGGAGATAATACCCCTACTCCTGCTCCGCGGGGTCTCCGCATGATCACTAAGGCTCAAGTGATACAATGGTGCTCCTTGAGCTGTATGCTAGAGGCAGGAGAAGGCAAGGCTAGCTCTTTCCTACTCTAGGGGAGTGGCTAGTTCTATGGGAGTGGGAACCCTTTGCATGGGTGCCCTGGGGGTTTATATAGGCCTACCCCCAGGGGTACAATGGCGATCCGGCCGGGTGCTGGGCCCGGCCGTCAGTGTCTCCGGCCTCCGATTTCTCCGCCGACCATTGGGGCCCGCCGCCTGGTGGGCCCCGTCGGCTGGTCTAGTACGGAGCCGACAGGCCACCCCCGCCGCTGGCGGGTCTGGTCGGCGGCTGTTCACTGTAGTCGTGCTGCTAATGACGCGGGCTTGGTTAGCTCAGTGTGGCTACAGTCCTGCCGCCTAGCAGGAGGTCTCTCTAGCCACACCTGATCTTATCAGGTTAATAGCGTACTTGCTTTGGGGCGAGGGACGACCGCCTGCTGGAGGCCGGCCCTCCTTAGGTCCGATTGGTTCGGCATCCGCCGTCTTCTGAGGCGTCACTGCCCGATAGGGCCCGCAGCCGGTGGGCCGTACCGACAGGCCGTCGTGGGGAACAGGGCTCCGCCTGTCCGGAGTGACGTCAAGGGGGAAATGGCAACAGTGCCACGCCGTGTGAAGATCTCCGTCTGTACGGGGCACTGTGGCCATGCCCAGCCCGAGATTCGGGGCGAGGGGCTTCACTGTAGCCACGCTCTATCTTGTCCTCTCGATGGAGGCCCAAACTCTGAGGGCACCAGGCGCCCGCCCTCTCTGGGAGCCGGCCTACTGGAGCCGGCCGCTCTTGGTGCCGTCTGCTGGTGGTTGGCCGTCCTCCGGTGGCCGGCCTTTGAGCCAGTCGGCCCCCGGAGGGCGGAGCTTCGGCTTGGGTCACTGCGGGGCGAAGCTGGCCCAAAGTTTTGTCATGTCCAGGGACTCGGGTGAGGCTACCCGTGGTCCATTACTCCGACAATTACTACTCTCTTTGTCCCATAATAATGTGCGCAGTAATTTCCGCGAAACTCAATTCACATTTTTTTATGATATTATTGAGAAAACTATCTTATATCTACAATACGAGAGCGGCGTTTTGGCTCCTAGGTGCATATGCACCTATTGTCGAAATACACATTTCGAAAAGTTAAAAAATTCGGAACAAAAATCCCAGGTGTATATCCGGACATTTTATGTGCATTCACAAGGTTTCGGTGAAGAACGATGTTTTTGTGGCTTGTGTAAAAAAGATAAAGTAATGCCTCGTGAATAGTTAGAATGAAGCATCAGAAATTGTCTTTTTTACACAAGCCACAAAAAATGTTGTTTGTCACTGAAACCTTGTGCACGCACATAAAATGTTCGAATATACACGCAGGGTTTTTGTTCCGAATTTTTCAACTTTTTGAAATGTGTATTTCGACAATGGGTGCATATGCACCTAGGAACCAAAGGCAATTACCGCTACAATATCAAGTATATACCATATGAAAATGTATTTCACGATTTATTGATAGTATTTTTATTTTTTTAATCTAATCAGACATGAATTATTTTATGAACTACAAGGAGCAAGAGAATTATACTTGCACAAATAGTCCTGCATGTGTTGCCCAAAAACTTGGTAACGTTACCCCATGAACGTCAGCTGGGAGGGGAATGGCAAGCGAACGTCATTTGATGTCAGTTTATATTGTGAGGAAAGATCAAACGCGCGATAGTTTTTAAACGAAAATTGCTTTCTTGGGTAGAAGTTGTCATGTCGCTTGAAGAAAATGCCACCCCTCATCACTTCTTCACAAATTAAACTGCCACGAAATCGTTCGCGCATGCCACTCTCGCGAGCTAAGAGCAACTTTAATGGGACAACCCATTTCGTCCGCCTGCTCTGTTTGGATCGTGGCGGAAGAAAGTGGAGGCCCAATGCGTCGACCCAAACGCAAATCACATCCGTCTGGCGTCCGCGCCGACCCATTTCCAGCCTAAAATTGCGCCTGAAATGCGTCGGCGCGGATGTGAAGTGGACATGCCGGCGTCTCCTCGATGTCCTCCGCGCCCCCACCTGTAGGCCACCCAACCGCCACCGGTCGTCTTATTTATAACGACTACCGACAGCGGGCTCACTAGTCAGCCAGTGGAAGCGTTCTTTTTTAAGCATGCTTGCGTCGGGGGGCGGCCGCATCCACTTCTCCCGTCCACATCACGCCCCACCACTCCCTTTGCTTCCTCGCCGGCGACAACAAACCCTAGTGCGCCATGAGCCTCTTCGGCAACAGCAATGGCAAGGGCAAGGGCAAGGACACCCCCGACGCCTCGTCCTCTTGTGCTCCCCGTCCCCCTCCTCCTCCGGCGCCAACGCGTTTCCGCCCTGATCACAGGCGCCTGCACATCCCGGCGCACCAAACGTGGTGGCATTGGGAGTACAGGCAGCCGCTGCCGTACCCCGACGTCACGCTGCCGCATCATTGGCACCTGGATCTGCGGCGGATCCCGGTGCCAGCGGTTCCGCGGAGCCAGCAGGCGCACGACGAGGAGGTGCGACGGCGCCGCGCACAGCTGACGCCGGAGCAGCGTCGGCTGCCTAAGTACGCCGCCGACTCTCCCAACTAGGAGGCTTGGTTCGCCCTCGAACACGAGGAGCAACGGCGTTTGGGTGTCGACGTCCTCCCGCCGCCATACCCACCACCGCCTCCGTAGGTACAGCCGGAGGACGTGGAGACGGAGGCGGAGTACCAAGCCGCCCTCGAGGAGGCCCTGCGGTACGCGCTGGAGGCTAGCCGCCTCGAGGAGGACGCGCACTGGGATGGGTTGGAGCAAGCCTTGCCCTGTCGGCGGCTGGGGACTCCGTCCACACCCCGCTGTTCGTGCCGCCACCGCCACCGTCGCCGCCCATCCAGCCCAAGCTGAAGCCGGAGCCGGAGCCGACGCGGAAGCGCTCCCCGCTTCCACACACTTGGCCAGAGGAGGCCTACTCGTGGACGGTCAGTACCGCGAGTGGGTGAGCGCACCTCCCGTCCACTTCATCGCGACGCCGGCGCAGGAGGCTGCCCACCTCGAGCGCTGGAAGGCGCACTGGCTCCGCCAGGAGCAGGCCGACGGCGAGGAGCAGATGCGCTACGAGGCCATGCTCCAACGCGACGCGAAGGCGCTCGGGCTCGAGGAGGAGGAGGAGGAGCGCGCGCGGCTAGCCGCAATGCCGCCGCCCCAGCAAACGCCGGAGGAGGCTGCCCTGGCAACGTACCAGGCGGCGTTCGGGTGGGCTGGCCCTGCTCCTGTCTTCATCAACCTCACCGGCGATGGCGACGGAGGCGGCGACGCCAAGGACAAGGGCAAGGCCGACAACATCTAGGGCAGCGTGCGGGGCGGCAACAGGCAGGCGCAGACTTTTTCTAATGTTTTAGTTAATGTTTAATTAGGTTTAAGTGAACTTTGGCTGGCATTTGATCGGCCACTTATATTTAATTATGTTTATTTCGTGCTAGCAATTTTTTTTCACGCCGGCACATTTAGGTCAGCCTCCCCGTTGGGCTGTTAAGCCGACCCATTTCAGAATGCGGACGTGTACATCCGACTGGCCGATCCAAACGGACGAAAAGCGGATAAAACGCGCGTCCGTTTGTGTCGCCCCGTTGGAGTTGCTCTAAGGGTAAAAAAAAAAAAGAGATATACTCTTGCATGCGTTGCCTAAAAAAATGATAGCCTTGCATGTGTGATTGTCAACCGAGCAGCGCCCAAATCAGATCGATCAAATCATGCGTACTACAATACCACAGAGACAAATAAGTAGAGAGCACGCAGCAGGACAAGAGTACAGCAAACGCGATAGCGTCAGGACTCTGCGGAGCTCGCCACAGCGCTCCTCTCCTCTCCTCGCCCATCATCATATCCCAGCGGCCCGAGTTTGGACTCGACGCCGCAGCCAAATCTTTCGCGGCCGCAATCGCACACGCCAAACCAGGCGTCCAACCCCGAGATGGCGACAACAACCGCGGCGGCGCGGACGGCGTGTACCGCTCGCTGCGCCCGCCGGCGCGCATCCCGTCCGACCCGGGCCTCTCCGTCGCCGACCTCCTCCTGCGCCGCGCCGAGGCGTGCCCGTCCGCGCCCGCGCTGATCGACGCCGCCACCGGCCGCGCGCTCACCTTCGCCGGCCTCCGGTCCGCGGTGCTCACCACGGCCGTCGCGCTCGCCTCCCGCGCGGGCGTCCGGCCCGGCGACGCCGTGCTCCTCCTCGCGCCCAACTGCGTCCTCTACCCGGTCTGCTTCTTCGCGGTCACCGCCGTCGGCGCCGTCGCCAGCACCGCCAACCCGCTCTACACCCCGCGGGAGATCGCCAAGCAGGCGTCCGACGCCCGCGTCAAGCTCGTCGTCACCGTGGCGGAGCTGCTCCCCAAGGTCGCCGCCCTCCGCCTGCCCGTCATCCTCCTCGACGACGCCGCGTCCGTCGCCACCGCCGCCCCTCCGGCGACGGCCAACGTGACACTCTACTCCGACCTCGTGTCCGGCGCGGACGAGTCAGCCTACCGCCGCCCGCCGACAAAGCAGGGCGACACGGCGGGGCTGCTCTACTCCTCCGGCACGACGGGGGAGAGCAAGGGCGTCGTCCTAACGCACCGCAACTTCATCGCGGCGGCGACGATGGTGACGTCGGACCAGGACGAGCGCGGGGAGCCGCCCAACGTTTTCCTCTGCTTCCTGCCCATGTTCCACATCTTCGGCCTCTCCGTCATCACCTTCGCGCAGCTGCAGCGCGGCAACGCCGTGGTCGTCATGTCGGGCTTCGCCATGGACTCCGTGATGAGGGCCGTGCAGCAGCACCAGGTGACGCACGTCTTCTGCGTGCCGCCGGTGATGATCGCGCTCGCCAAGCACGGGCGGGCCGGCAAGTACGACCTCAGCTCGCTCAAGTTCATCGGCTCCGGCGCCGCACCGCTCGGCAGGGACGTCATGGAGGTGGTGGCCAAGAACTTTCCCGACGCCGAGATCGTTCAGGTAACCAACCAATCAGCCAGCCAGCTGCTCTGCACTTTTTATCTGCTTTTTTATTGCTTATTAGTGACAGACAGTAGTACGTTTACTCTGTTGTTTGGATTGGAAGGACTAGATCGACTTTTCAGCGTCTTTTTGTTGTGCTTTTGTGGGGACTCAATCTCTCTACTCTTGTCGCTTCCTTAGAAAGGCTATATAATCAGGTGATTAAGACAGGGTTTCCGTTGATGTGATTCCCTCCTTTTTATGGTGATTAGAACTTGCGAGTACACAGCAGTATGCAACCAGCCAGATTTCCTGTACTTGATTTTGACGGTGGATTCCAATATTTTGTGAAGTAATGCACCACACAGTAAAAAGGGTCTTGTAATGTCTGCATAATGAATCAAATCTACAGAATACAGAAAAGTGTATTGAACAAGTATCGGCATCAGAATACCCTTCTGCACTGTTGTAACTGTGATGCCCAAAGTCAACTATGTGTTTTTAGAACAAAATGACAAAGTCAACTATTCCTGTATCAGTTACAGGTTAAGCACCTCTCTTACCTTCCGAATCATGTTATTATTCTATAAATATAATATATGCTTTGTTTATTTATTCATCTAAACTAGTATTACTTTTATCAGCTACTCCCTCCATTCACAAATATAAGATGTTCTAACTTTTTTTTGAATCAGATGTATATAAATACGTTTTACTGTGTTTGTTCATTCATTTCAGTTTGTATGTAGTCCATTTTGAAATATCTAAAACATCTCATATTTGTGAACGGAGAGAGTACATGATCGCAGTTGTTTGCCTTCCTTATCATACATTATGTAATAATACCTATCTATTTATTCATTTATCTGGGAATAGAAATATATGCCCTGACGATGTATCTTCTACAAACCTACAGGAAGATGTTTATTTTCAGATAACTCTGTAGAATCTCTGTAGCCAATTTCAAAACTAAGCTGCTGTGGTTCAGCGGTTTGCTACACAGCACTCCTTACTGTATATGTAGTATTATGGCTTCATTATCTCATGGTGATACCTGATTCATACCTGTAAACAGGCTTAACTCATATCTCAAGTTGTATTGTGCGTTGTGCTTTTCTGGCAGGGCTATGGTATGACTGAGACATGTGGGATCATATCGCTTGAATACCCAGAAAAGGGACAAGCTCGTCAGTTTGGGTCAACCGGAACACTGGTTGTTGGAGTTGAAGCAAAAGTTGTCGATGTAGAGACGCAAAACCATCTACCAGCAAGTCAACTAGGAGAAATCTGTATCCGGGGACCACAAATAATGCAAGGTAAAAATTCGAACATGTGCGTTAGGTTTTTGTTCTTCTTCCCTGCCTTTTGATACCAAGCAAAGCCCTTATTCCATAGAACATAGATAGTTTGCTTGATCAACTATCACATACCTACTTACCAAACTCAATGTAAATGATATATTAGTTATTACAATGGAATTGTAGCTATTGATAATATTGTTGTGTTACGAGATGTGGTAAAAAATGTTATTAGCTCTTTTTTCACTTGTTATTGACATTGCACTGTTTATCACGGCCTAGTGATTTTTTAATTGTGAAACCCTAGTGATTATCAAGCAGCTACTATTTTTATTCCTACATTATTTTCACCAACAAGAAGGCCACCAAATTTCCGCGTATTCTGTCCTGAAGGGATTAGAAGGCCAGAAATTCTCCTTATATGAGTTGATTATTTGTAGGGTATTTCAACAATGTGGAGGCTACTGATTTTACAATCAAGCAAGGATGGTTGCATACTGGTGACCTTGGATACTTTGATGAAGAAGGCCAGCTTTTTGTTGTTGATAGACTAAAAGAGCTGATTAAGTACAAAGGTTTCCAGGTAAATTTTTGTTTTGCAAAGTATTATTTTGTTTTCTAATGGTTGCTAGAGTCTTCGACTTGTGAGCAGAAAGCGCTTTCCCAAGGATGGTTCTAGTCAGCCTCCGCAGGGCCCTTGCTTCTACTTATGTTTGTTCCATATGTAGCCAACCATTACACTGATAGGGTGTTTCTGTAATATTGTCGAATGAATGACATATCGGAGTTATCCAGATTTCACCACAAGCATATTCATCAAAGTTTAAAATAGCGGGCTATGCTATTTAGTGGCGGGCCGGCCAGAAGCTATGAAACGCTAAAGCGGAGCTACAGCGAAGCTTAGCGTTTGTCTTACATCATGAATTTTTCGGAAAAATAAACATACATTCATGCATCATATATTATATATCACATATACTTGGCATACTAATCTCCCCTGGCTGATGCCATGAACCTTTTGTTTCTTTGTTGGTTTCTGTAAATGAAATCGGAGGGGAAACCCACTTTTGCTAAAAAGAAAAACATATACTTGGCATACACATGCTGAGGCATAAAAAAAATGGCATTGATCAGGCATCCTAATTCAATAACTAAGTTTTGCATCAGTGCATCATATATATCTGAAAACAAGAAGGAAGAACTGGGTGGATGGATGGCTTTGTGGAACTCACTTCCCTCCTCTGTCTGCAGCGGCTTAGCGGCGCTAAATGACTCCAAATTTACTGCTATAGTGGGAAATAGCAACCTATTAACAGCATTTTTAATTTAACATTTAAAGTGCATAGCTTTAATGGGAGGGCTCTCTAAAAGCTATAGAGACACTATTCATACCTCTAGATAGGACAACACCACACCTGATCCAATGGGGTCATATACCTTAACAACATTTTGTGTTGCAAACAGTAGCCCCTCATTTTATTGTGGAAATTCTTCTTTGCCTACCGAGCTTAAAGTTCACTAAAAATCCTTTCTTATTATTATCATCCTACCAAAAGCCAATTCATGTTAACTTAAGCAGTTGGGTTCTTGTTTACTGTCTGAATAGAAGCCTTGCTTTGCTCGTATCCAATCTAAGAATCATGATGGAAACCCGTCCTTTTGCACTTGTTTTCTTGCTCCAGCATACATCATACTTTGTCCTCTGTAGATAAAGCGCTCTGATCGTTTGTTTGTTTAACTGGTAGATTGCACCTGCTGAGCTTGAAGGATTACTTCTATCTCATCCAGAGATTCTGGATGCTGTCGTTATCCCGTAAGTTGCCTCCTAAACGTTAAGTGATTCTAGCGGCTTTTGAGTATAAAATAATTGCTGCAGCCTTCTTGGTTTGGATTTCTTTTGTCTGGTGTTTCTCATCTCTTGATTGACTGGGAGCTCTGCTTGTTTCCAAGGTTGCCTGACGATGAAGCTGGGGAAGTTCCTATTGCCTATGTGGTGAGGTCACCTGCCGGTTCATTAACCGAAGCGGACGTCCAGAAGTTTATCGCAAAGCAGGTGAGGCTGACTCCAAACCTTGATAAATCGTGACATCAGAGTACCTGTATCTTAAATTCCAAATCTCACCATCACCAGCATGAAAGAGATACACTTGAACGAGCAATGTTTTTTTTTTCACGGCTCATTCTATACCAAGAGAGGGCGGGGTCGACCGAATTTGACATGGGAGGAGTCCGTTAAGAGAGACCTGAAGGATTGAAGTATCGACAAAGGGCTAGCTATGGACAGGGGTGCGTGAAAGCTTGCTATCCATGTGCCAGAGCCATGAGTTGGTTGCGAGATCTTATGGATTTCACCTCTAGCCTATCCCAACTTGTTTGAGACTAAAGGCTTTGTTGTTGTTGTTGTTGCTGTTGTTGTTGGCTCATTCTATATCAGTTGTAACTCTGACCTGCATTTCAGGTCACGTACTACAAAAGGTTGAGGCGGGTTACCTTCGTGGAGAGCGTGCCAAAGTCAACCGCAGGCAAGATCTTGAGAAGAGAGCTCATTGCCCAGGTCAGATCGTCCAAGTTGTAGGAAAATCTGCTTCGAGATCGTGCTACATTTCCAAAAATCTACTACCATTGGGGCAATGCTTAGGCTTACAAATTCCTTTTGCCGGGGCATCATTTTCGTTTATATGACGCAACATAAATGTCAATCTCAACATTGTACAAAAGATTGTATGTTTTTTCGAAAAGGAGGAATACTCCCGGCCTCTGCATCTGGTCGATGCATACGGCCACTTTATTAATTATTAGCGCAAAACCTTACAAAGTCGTACAACAGTAAGACCAAAGCCACCATCTTCGCAACCTCTGTCGCTACTCCTATCTAACTGATGAAGGGGCGCTGATGGTCTGGGCCTAATACCAAACAGACCTCGCAGCCAAACCTAACATCTAAGACCTGAGGTCCCAACCTGGACGCCTGCCGGGTATGGGCACCCACTAGTCCGGCGTGCTCCTCAACCAGGGCGCCCGCCGGGTATGAGGCCGCCACAACCACCTACCACATATCCATCTTCAGAGATGTACTGTTGTAACGGCCTTGCCCGGTCTCGCTGCCGCCGACGCCACCACGACGCCAGACAGCGTCGACCTCCTGCGCGTGTCCGTCACCACACATCTGACGCCAAGCCTCCGCTGCTCCATGCCGCCAAGAGCCGCCGCCAAGAATATGTAGAACGAAACACCGCTCCACCGAAGGGAGGCAGCACACCCCCACCCCTCACCTGCAGACCCTTCCATCCGATCCCAATGTCCTTGGTGTCGCCTCCAGGAAGGTTACGGTGCACAGGGCGCCGCCGACGCCCGATCCGCATCGGATCTTGGGCTTTCACCCGGACATGAGTTGGAGAGGAGAGATGGTGCCCTCAGCAACGCCCCCAAGGAGGAAAGCGGCGCCAAAAATCGGCGTCGCCGCTGCCGGTCAGCCTAAGGCAGCCAAGGTTTCACCCGGACACCGATCTGCTCCACCAGAACACACCGGAGGTGGATCCGGCAAGATCCAAACCGAACCGGGGACTGGGAAAGGATGCATGGAAGGGAGAGGGGCAATACCTCCAGATCTGGCACGCCTACGGCTCGCCGTCCTCACGGCCGAACCCACGGGCACGCCGCACGCCACCAGATGCGCCGCACCAGATCGATGATGGCCAGCCTCAGCGCCGCCCCCCACTCTCCCGACGAGGGAGAGGAGGAAACAGCGCCGCCGCCGAGCCCGGGGCCGCCGCCCCGGCTTGCCCGCGCCTGGCCAGACGCAGCCGCCGCCGGATGCAGGCCTTCGTCCAGGGCCGAAGACTTGTGGCGCGCGACGAGGGTGCCCCGCCACCGCCGTCCGCCGAGTGGGCTTTGCCCGTCGGCCTCCTCCGGCGGTGGCGGGCGGAGCGAGGGAGGAAAGGGGAGCGGGGGCGGCGGCGGCTAGGTCGCCCGAGCCGCCCCCCAGGGAGCGACGCGAGCGATACCCTTTTCTATCTCGAGGAAAAAGCTTGGTCGCTGCTACAAGCGAGACGCTGCAAGGCCAGCCACCCGCGCAAAAGATTGTATGTGACAAGACCATTGTTCGAATGTACCATGTACGACATCTATACAACGAATGAAGAAAATGAATGTCAATGAATAACGGCTATCTGTACAAGGAACGAATATGTGCTGAGTCCTGCAACTGGGTGCCCCAGTACTCATGATACATCGGGGAATCGGCCCCTGCAAATCGTAGAAAAAACCGTGCGTTGTTTCAGGTTCAGCTGAAGAAGGGCAGGAGCAAAACTGCGCCGAGGCAGTCTCCGATCACTTTGGAGTCGTCTTGGAGAATGACCAGAATTTTAGCAGTTTACCTGTGTTTGCTGAGCCTATCATCATCATCGTGCTCGGCGTCGCGCCTATGAGGAATGGCGGGGACGGGGCTTCTTCCTCCCCCTCCTCTCCTTGTCCCGGAGGGGGCGACGGCAGTCGAAGCAGCGAAGGGTCGGCGTACATCATTTTGCCGTAGCCCCTCTCCAGCGTCCCCTTGTCAAACCAGAGAAAAAAGGTCCTGGAGATTGAATAACAATGGTTCAGGGCTTCAGGCGAAGCGCTAGAGATCGAAACCTAACGTGTAGAAATCAAGATCAACCATGGCTTACTATTACCTTGGTATAACATCGTCGCAGCGCTGCCATCGGAGATGCATTCTGCTTGCTGCCGCAGGTTGAGGAGCACTGTACCGCTCGGACGCGCATTTAACCTGCACGTACAAACACCGATCGGTTTGTTGCACACATGTAAATTGTTAGTTGCATATACTGTGCTTCATGCTTGCATCACCATACATGAGGATCTGTTCAAAAGGGGGGAAACAAAGACGGACTCCGGCTGCAGATGCATCATATATACCTGGATCCTCAGCTTGTCGAATCTCGCGTCGTCGAAGCGCGCCGACATGGCCAGGATGTTGGACCAGAGGATGTCGATCTTGACCAAGGCGTCGGCCCGGTGCAGCTGGAGCACCATCTTCTTGGGCTTCTTGTACTGGAACTTGGCCGCTATGTCGAACTCGTCCGTTCGATCGATCTGTATATGGCCAGGAGTGAGTTCATAGGCAAGAAAGAAAGAAACCAAGAGCATGCGATTCTATCGATGTGCACAGATGGTAATGGTACAGTAGTATGTACTAGTACTATAGTTGAGTAGGAACCTTGCTGTCGCCGATTTGGAGCGCTCGCAGTCCCACCCGCGTCAGCCGTCTCCGGCCCTGATTCTTCACCGCTGGCGGCTCCTCCCCCTCTGGGCCGGCGCCTCTGTCGGCGGCGGCGGGGTCGAGCGCGGCTCGCATGGACGTGATCAGACGCAGGAAGGGCTCCCGGATCTCGAGCCCCAGCCGCGGCGCCCTGGCGGGGCCGCCGTGCTGGTACTGGCACAGCGCGCCTGCTCCGTCGCCATCCGTGCCGCCGGCGTGTTGGCCCAAGCCGGCGCCCGCGCGCTCCGACGGCGAGTCGGTGGAGTCCGTCATCTCGTCTGGCCGCCGGGGGGCGGTGCGGCGCCCGCTCATGGGAGGAGGAGGAGCGGGCGGGGGGAGGGGAGAAAAGTGGAAGCCTGCGTCGGCACGCTGGCGTAGACGTAGCGGCGGGCCGGTGTCCGGCGGGCGCACGAGTCGCCGACTTGCCGTGCTGCCGGCCGCGCGCCCGTGCGTATGTCTGTTAGGGCCGTTGCGAATTGGGATTGCGGTTGGTGCAGCTGCACTTTATATTAGTGGGGCCGGGGTATATATAGGTACCGTGTGACGGGATGACACGTCCTGTGAAGCTAAACTCGATCGAACGAAGAGCTGAAGGTTGGTAAGCTCGTCGTGGCCATCGCCAACCGAACTGATCTTGAGCTTAAGACTTGAAGCTAGCTTTTTCACCTAGACCGTGTCACGGCCAATGTGTGTCACCTCCGTCACACAACCACAACTCCAAAACCGAGCGGATCAGTGTGCACTCACCTTAACGCCAAGAGGAGTCGGCAAGTGGGTTGTAGGACCTGACCACGCCTAAGGGAAGAAGTCATGGAGGAACCGTTGACGACGTTGCATATCGCGTCCCGGATGCCGACGTCCTGAGAAGCAGCCCATACCAAACATAGCATTCAACATCCCCATTCCAAACGGCAGACACCGCGAGCAACTAAGAAAATGGCTTCATCAAGGGATCGCCGCCACCATTGTCAACTAGCAGCCTCTTTCTTGTACGGCTGGGTTATCGAATACGAAATGAGTTTTGAACATAACCTTCCTTCTGGGCTACTGGGTTTATGTTCTTAGAAATTGTGGAGTTTGACTTTGACTCAGTTAGAGCTATGGTTTGACGAGTGAGAAGGATACGTAGGAGTAGTAGGCGGAGCCACCCTAGGTGAGTAAGCAAGTTGCTTCTACTTGCTCATCATAGACCAACAAATCCATTTGAGAGTTGTCTTCCTCTGATGTTAGTGTTCGTTTCCTCTTCCTCGGTGTCTGTTTTCTTATTTGAGATCTTGCTTTTCATGGTTCTCATCTCTGTATAAGTCGCGACACCGCCAATCACACCTTGAAAATGGTTTCGCCCAACAAATGCTTCTAGAAATTGGTACATCTGAAATTTCTCGCATCACCTCATCAGGGAGAGAAAAAAAGATGCCAATTCCAATTAGGAATGTGATAGTGGGAGAAAGAGAGATCCACGGAACCGGACATCGGGTTTTCTCTGGTGCTCAAAGAGGGGCACCATCGTCCTATCCAATGAAACCTGACCGTTGCTATTGGTGAAAAAAACTTACGGTATTATGTATATCATCACCCTAAAAAAATTTCTTATTACTTTAGCCGATCTTAGAGCATCTCCAACGGCCGCGCGAAACGACGCGCGCGGGGGTAAACGCAGCTTTTAGCGCGCGCGGGGCGTTTTGCCGCGCTCCAGCGGTGGCGGGATAATCACGCACGCGGGAACCGTTTGCGCGCGCGCGAAAAAAGGCGCCAGCTCGCGCCTCATTTTTTGCGCCCCGCTTCCGGCGCGCTTATAAAGTGCGGCGTGCGCCACGCGCCTCTCCACGCCTCCTCTTCTCTTCTTCCTCTCCCTCTCTGCCACGCGCCGCTCCAGCGCCCCGCCACCGACGCGCCTCCACCACCCCAGCGCCCCGCCATGCCGCCGCACCGCTGAGGAGCGTCCGGCTACCGCGGCGTCCGCCTGCGCCCCAACGGCGGCTACTACGCGGAGATACGCTCCGGCGATCTCCGGCTCGGCCTCGGCACGTACGGGACGGCGCGCGAGGCCGCCCGCGCGTACGACGCGGTGGCGTGGCGCCTGGGCCAGCCGCGCGGCCAGATGAACTTCCAAGACGTGTACACGCTCCAGCAGGCGCTCGACGTCGCCCCGCCGCCTCGTCTGAACACGGCACAAGACCGTGCGGAGCACGCCGAGCGGCAGCGCGGACTCCTCGTCGCCCAGGAGGACGAGCGGGTCATGGCGAAGTGGCGCCAGCGCCACCCGGAGGACGTCGCCTACGAGCAAGGCTACTGGGCAAGGCGTCGCGAGGAGGACA